TTCTCAGTTTTAGTGGTTTGTTATTTTTAACATGTTTCTCGCATCATTTATCATTTCCTCCCTTGTTATGATTCGTGGTAAATTTTGAGCTTGTGGGGTATTCATTTATGATAAAAATAAAAATTTAAATTATGCCGTTCTAAAGTTTTTGAAGAACTGAAGTGTGCCCTATGTGTGCCCATGTGTGCCTAGGTCAATTAACTTCTTTTAAAAATAGTGACAACATGACATTTTGACAACAGGGGTGAAAGGAGGAAGGCAATAATGAATTATTTTTGAAGAACTGAAGTGTGCCTATGTGCCCATGTGTGCCTAGGTCAATTAACTTCTTTTAAAAATAGTGACAACATGACATTTTGACAACAGGGGTGAAAGGAGGAAGGCAATAATGAATTATTTTGAAGAACTGAAGTGTGCCTATGTGCCCATGTGTGCCTAGGTCAATTAACTTCTTTTAAAAATAGTGACAAACATGACATTTTGACAACAGGGGTGAAAGGAGGAAGGCAATAATGAATTATTTTTGAAGAACTGAAGTGTGCCTATGTGCCCATGTGTGCCTAGGTCAATTAACTTCTTTTAAAAATAGTGACAACATGACATTTTGACAACAGGGGTGAAAGGAGGAAGGCAATAATGAATTATTTTTATTTTTTCTAACTTTTTATTTTGTATGTAAGAACAGTAATGTCAGTCGAAGCAAAAACATTCACGAACAAATCTAATGGTGAAACATTCACAAAAGGCACTTATAACGGTATTGAAGTCTTACGTAGAGACAAGGATGGTTACATTAATGCAACAAAGATGGCAAGAGAAGCAGGAAAGTTAAACCATTTAAACAGATTTCTCAATAGTGCTAAAATACAGGAAATTCTTGAGTTTTGGTTGAAAGAATACGGTGGAGCCAAAAGTGGCTCGACCTCAAAACAAGCATTTTATGAGCTTACAAAGGGTGTCATGAATGAATTCAAAGGTATTTACATACATCCTGACCTCGTTCATTTTGTTGCTGAATGGTGCTCTGTAAAGTATGCATTTTATGTCAAAGATATTATGGATTCCATAGACAAGAAAGTTCATGAGAAATTAGATGAAGAAGAACTTGAAGATACAGTAGAGAATGCTAAACCTTTGTTTGAAGAAGAAGTTGGAAAAAATGTGCGAAAAACAATTAGAACATGAACGTGAGTTATGTTATGGTTATAGAGATTCTCCATACGAACTAGACCAATGGGAACAAGAAAATTTAAAGAGAGAATTAGAGAATATGAACTCGCTAAGATAGCATTAGAAGCTGCAGAAAAGAAGTTAAAAGCTTGGGGTTGTTTTGTACAAAAATATTGTGAGTAAATGAACCATTTATTTTTATTGAATTCACCAAAAATAATTTTTAGGGTAGATGGTTAGATCTAACCTCATTTCTAACCTCATGATATTTTGACAACAACACAGGAGGAAGGCACTTATGAATTATTTTTGAAGAACTGAAGTGTGCCTATGTGCCCATGTGTGCCTAGGTCAATTAACTTCTTTTAAAAATAGTGACAACATGACATTTTGACAACAGGGGTGAAAATTCATGTCTTACGTTTTTGAAGAACTGAAGTGTGCCTATGTGCCCATGTGTGCCTAGGTCAATTAACTTCTTTTAAAAATGGTGACAACATGACATTTTGACAACAGGGGTGAAAATTCATGTCTTACAAAAATAAAGTTAGTTTTAAAATTATTTTTATTTTTTTATTCCTATATAAATGACAGCAACAAACAACAACATCGACTTTCTCGTTTCTGATGAAAAAGTTATTGATTCATTAGTTGAAGAATTAGTTGTGGCAGAAACTAAAACCCTCAACGAAAGAATTGGTGAAAACATGATTGATTTACATAATTACCTCAAATATGATGGAGGAAGAGGAAGGAAAACTGGTACAGCTTTATTAGCAAATAAAATTTCAAATTTAACGATTATAGATGTTGATATCAATAAATCGTACAATGATGAACTTAAAGAAACAGTTAGAAAAGACATTTTATCAAAACTTTCAGATAAAGATGTTATCGTTAAAACCGCTTCAGGAGGTCTTCACATTTATTGCAACACTAATTTCTTCTATTCAACCTCGAACAGAATGATTAAATGTTATTCCTGCAATGATTATAATATTGATATCATGACTTCAATGGATGATTCAAAGCGTTCATTAGTGGTTATGGCTGATTCAAGAGTTCGCAAGAATGCAACAGAACCAATCAATACATACTCATTCATTCGTGGAAGTTATGATTCAACATTAACTAGAACAGTGAATGATATATTTAAATGATTTGAATATTAAGGTAAGAGTTGAACAAAAGAATGAAGAAATAAAGAGTATAATGAATGAAAACAAAGATGTAAACATTGACGATAAACTTGCCCAGAGCATAGTTGATGGTATTTGTGATTTTGAAGTACATAATGACGGTGGAAACATGAATTTAGAAAAAGAAGTTACATTATTCACACTGTTTCAAGCTATTAATTCGTTACCGGATCATTTAATTAATGAAGCATACGACAACGTTTATAACTTCTGCAATTTAACTGAAAATGCAAAAAGTAATTTTGAAAAAGCACGTGATAGATATGCACATTTAATGACTTCTCCATTTGTTTTGGTGAAGATTCTTAAACTTTATCAAAAAGAATATTATGATGAATACGTTTTACCTTTATTACGTAAGCCAAAAATAACATTTGATATAAAACTTGATGACTCGTTTTTGATAACAGATATTAGACGTAAAGCTGAAAATCATCAGTATAAAAACAGTTCTGAAGTAATTGAGGATTTATCACGTGTCATTCGTTTTGTAGATTGTGGAAACAAATATTTCATTCAAAAGGATTACAACATACATGATAAAATGAATCAAATATCATTCGTTCTTCAATCAAACATGAAAGAGTCACTCAAAATGATTAAATTATTTAAAGAAGAAGGTAAAACCATAACAGCATGGGACGTACTACTAAATCAATTATCCTCATTAACCGTTAAGGGTGTATGCTTCAAATCTGATTCCACAGATGTTTTCTCAACGTTTCAAGGTTATAAATACAACATTCTTGAAAAAGTAGATTACACAAAAATTGAGATGTTTATGAATTTCATTAAAGAAGCCATTTGTGATAATAACGATGAAGTATATAAATACCTTCTCGGCTGGATTGCATCAATGATTCAACATCCTGGAATCAAGAATGAAACAGCAATTATTTTGAAAGGACTTCAGGGAACAGGTAAAAACAGATTTACAGACATTATTTCTGAACTTCTCGCTGGTTATTCATGTAAAAACATTACCGAAATAAGTGAGCTAACGGGTAATTTCAATTCAGTTGTTGAGAATAAAATGTTTCTTGTACTTAATGAACTCAAGAATGTTGGTGAAGACAGACTCGCAAACTTCAACGCTTTGAAATCAATTATAACGGATAATGAGATAAGAATTAATGAAAAGAATCAACCCAGAAGAACTGCTCAAAATGTTGCCAATTTCATTTTCGTAACTAATAACGTCTACCCTGTCAAAATTGAAGTTGGAGACAGAAGATACGTAGTTTTAAGAGTTAATGGTAAATTTAAGGGTCAATTTGATTACTTCAAGAATTTAATGGATTCATGCACAAAGGAATTTTATGATAATTTACTAACATATTTTATCAATTACGACCTTTCATCATTTAATGTACGAATTATACCGATGACTGAAGCCAAACAAGATTTAATGGAATTATCAACAAATCCTTTAGATGAATGGATAAATACACATTATGATGAATTGTGTGCAGGTATGACGTGTAAAAATGCTCTATTCTGCAAACCATCAGACATGAAAGACAAGAATTTTCAAATGAGCATTAAGGATAAATGTGATAAGAAACGAAGAAGAATAGACGGTAAACAGACGTGGTGTTATGTTTTGAAAGAAGAAATGAAAGGATTATATAAACAGGTTGAACTAAACGATAATGAGGATTCATTTACTGACGACGAAATACCTGTAAATGAAGCTTTATAAAGTATGATTTGAATTTATTTTTGCCTTCCTCCTTTCACCCCTGTTGTCAAAATGTCATGTTGTCACCATTTTTAAAAGAAGTTAATTGACCTAGGCACACATGGGCACATAGGCACACTTCAGTTCTTCAAAAACGTAAGACATGAATTTTCACCCCTGTTGTCAAAATGTCATGTTGTCACCATTTTTAAAAGAAGTTAATTGACCTAGGCACACATGGGCACATAGGCACACTTCAGTTCTTCAAAAACGTAAGACATGAATTTTCACCCCTGTTGTCAAAATGTCATGTTGTCACCATTTTTAAAAGAAGTTAATTGACCTAGGCACACATGGGCACATAGGCACACTTCAGTTCTTCAAAAACGTAAGACATGAATTTTCACCCCTGTTGTCAAAATGTCATGTTGTCACCATTTTTAAAAGAAGTTAATTGACCTAGGCACACATGGGCACATAGGCACACTTCAGTTCTTCAAAAATAATTCATAAGTGCCTTCCTCATTAATCCTGCTATGTTGTCAAAATGTCATGTTGTCACTATTTTTAAAAGAAGTTAATTGACCTAGGCACACATGGGCACATAGGCACACTTCAGTTCTTCAAAAATAATTCATAAGTGCCTTCCTCATTAATCCTGCTATGTTGTCAAAATGTCATGTTGTCACCATTTTTAAAAGAAGTTAATTGACCTAGGCACACATGGGCACATAGGCACACTTCAGTTCTTCAAAAACGTAAGACATGAATTTTCACCCCTGTTGTCAAAATGTCATGTTGTCACCATTTTTAAAAGAAGTTAATTGACCTAGGCACACATGGGCACATAGGCACACTGAAAAAAATTAATGAAAACATTAATATTATGGTTATGGTCTTCAGTCGTATAATTTCATTACTGAGGTATGCTGAATTGGAGCTCAGGACTTTCAGTCCGTGCGAAACCATGCATAAACTGTCATATAGGGCGGCATGTATTCTTTACTTTGTCCCGTCGTTTGTGTATATCCTGAAACATTATGTGTATGATTACCTGAACCCTGTGTATCGTTCCAGTAACAATTAATAGCAAATTTAACGTCATCTTTAACATCATATCCTTTACCTTTTGTCATTCCGGACCAATCCCAATATCTATGCTTATGCCAACCTGCTTCGGTTGTGTTTAAATTAACGTAATGACTGTGAGCAGGTAAATTTTCGCCCGTAATTGTTTTACTTCCACCAGTTTGTTTTGATGAGTTAGCACAATATAAGAAACGATCGGTTATTTGTTGCCATGTACCAAAACCTAAAACACTTGCCGGATTTGTTGAATTCATTGATGTATATATTGAACCAATGGGGTAAATCATCTCAAGAATTGTATTTAATTTAGTATTAACCCATTCCTTATCAGCTTTATTGTCTAAACATGCTAAAACCCATTTTGTATCAGCTTTAACGTTAAAAGTCGCCGATGTCCAATCCATATCTGCTTTCTTATTTAACTCACTATCCACGTATTCCTTATCAGCTTTATTGTCTAAACATGCTAAAACCCATTTTGTATCAGCTTTAACGTTAAAAGTCGCCGATGTCCAATCCATATCAGCTTTCTTTGCTAACTCAGTATTAATGAATGAAATAACTTTTTCCTTATCTGCTTTCTTCATTAACTCATCGTTAACATAAGTTTTATCTGCTTTAAGGTCTAAACATCCTGAAACCCACCCTGTATCAGCTTTAGATTTTAAAATTTTTGATGTCCATTCATGATACCATTCAACCCTTTCTTTCATTTCGTTATCTTTTTCATCCACATATTCCTTATCCGCCTTCTTCACTAACACACTATCCACATATTCCATATCCGCCTTCTTCATTATGTCATTTAGGAAACCTTTTATGAATTCCTCATTTAAATTAAATCTTCCAATCTTCAAAACTTTAGGAAATGCATTTAATGCGTAATATCTTTGTTCTTCTGGTGGAATTGATGTTATATCATCCGTTATTCCTTTAATTTTTGAATTCATAAATAAAATTTCTTTTATATTTGATATCACCGCTCCACCTTTGCAAACGAATTCGAAATGGTCATTTTTCAATACTATCTCCAAATCTCCATATTTCAACCTTTGTGTTTGTTCTGCCGTCTTTGAATTATATGCATATGTGGCGTATGTAATGGTTTGTGCCTTAAGTTGTTGTGGTTGCTGTTGTTTAATCATTTATTACGATTTAAAAATAAATATTTAATCCGTTATCTCATCAGCTATTTTCTCTATTTGAAAAGTCCATAATATTTCATTCATAAATTCTAAATCACAATCAAATAGGTCAGTTATTCTAAATTTAATATTTGATAAATCTTTTGAATGAAGAATAAATGAATTCCCGGATAATTGAAACGGATATGATAAAGAAAATGTGTTTAAGTTGATGGATAAAATGTTTTGTATTGATGGGTAAGAGTTAGGGTCTAATGTTTGATGTGAAAATCTCATTGGGGTATTAACTTTATCACATTTGATTAAAATGAAATTGGAACCAGTGTCAGAATACAAAACATCCCCAACATCTTTTTCAAAATTTAATATCCCCAACAATGAACGAAGACGAGGAGTACAAAATTTAATTTTCAGCGGAAATTTAATAAGATTATTTATTTCATCAAGTTCAAAAAGTTTATCAGGTTTTGATTTAAAATTTTCTTCATACCATACGATAAATGATTCATTTAAATAACTTAAAATCATGTTAATATCCCATTTCACTATCACATTATTTATATACATATCATATGTTTTTTCATGGTCATCTTTAATAAATGATATATAATCCGAAGGGTCTAAAAGAATGGGATTAAATTTACCACTCACAGAAACGAGAGAAACATTATAAATTCCACTAACTGTTAAATTTAATTCACAGTTATTATTCGAAATAATATTGATAATTGACATTTTTATTACGATTAAAAATATGGTAAAGCGTTATTTTCCAGTGATAAATAAAACTAGAATAAGATTACCTCAAGAATTCATAAATTCAACGAATAAGAAATTCATTCATGTTATAAATTTTAGTGTTTTCAGAAAATATGAGTCGATGTCATATTCATCAACAGGTTATATTTCACTTCATTCAAATTTGGTTCAATCAAACCCATATAATGACCATTTCATAAGATTTTCAGATGGTATTAAAAATGTAATTGATAGATTAAAATATGAACAGATTGACAATATCGAATTTTTGGAATTTTGGTTTAAATATCCCGATGGAAAAAAGATTGAAGTTAAAGATAAAGCTGATACTATAACAAAAACAATTACAATGACCGATCCAGATAGTGGGGAACAAAAAGAAATAAAACAAACGATAGAAACTGGTGAAAGGTCAATTATTATTGATTATGATTCAAAGGATTATTATTCGATAATGTTAATGCTTGAATATTAAATAGCCTTAACAAAGAATTTTTCAAGTGATATTTTATATTCATCAACTATTTTATTATAAATATCATTATATGTTAAATGAAGTTCAGTTGTTGTTCCGTTCTTTGATATCTTAATTGTGCTAATATCCTTTATAGGATTTATTTTTGCAACTGTTCCGCAGCATGAAACCTCATCATCTATGAAATATTGAATCTTCACGTCTGAATCTTGAACATCACAAAGAATGGCAATAATGTGAATTAATGATTCATAAGGTAAAATAATTAAACCGGATTGGTCAATTAAATTTATTATTGAATCATAATTATCAGTTATGATATCACGATATATTTTCATTAATTCTGAATTAATGTCTATTTTATATGGCGCATTGCGACTGGAATCGTAGATTCCTGGATTATCAAGTGGTGGGGGGTATGTTGGATAAGTGGGAATTTCAACAGGTTCTTTACCGGGTTCGGATAAAATGATTGGGTCTCCATCTTCTTTATTTTGCTCCTCTTCTTTCTTTGGTAAGTCACGAGTTAATAAATTTGGTTGAGTTGCTGACCTTGTTAATTCAGGACTAACATTAACTTTAACATTTTGAATAATTCGTGATTTATCATCATTTACATTATAACCAACCGTAATCTCTGCTTTTGCGTTTGTGTTCTTTTGACTTGTGAAACGTCTTCTCATTTATAATTGAATAAAAAAAGAAAAATATATTTAAAGTTTTATTTAGTTGTTACGGTAATATCCCAAGGTTCATCCTTGATTGCTTATACTTTCTTTGTAACTGCACCAATTATGTTATTGATATTGATTTGAGTTTCTTCCAGTCTTATTTTATCATTTACAATATCTTTAATCATTTCATTACATGCATTCTTAAAATCATCCGATTTTTCTAATTTTCGTCTATCACTTTCTTTAATTAAATCAAAGTTATATCCTTGTTGAGAATAAAGTGGTTTCTTTATCAATTCCTTGAACGCTTCTGAAAGTGAAGATGAAGAAATTCTTGCCACTTGAATTGGTTTAAATTTTGCTTTCATTGCTTCTTTCTGTTCATTGAACACTGGATCGAATAAAGCAACTTTAAAGAATTTCTTAGCTGGAATTTCAGGTCTCAAATTTGCATATTGACCATCAAACTGATTAACATATTGAGGTAATCCGTTTGGTCCTTCTTCAATAGCATTTAATTCTTCATTGAAATAAGAATATGGATTATGACGGAATGAATTAATTGGACCATGTTCACCTTCTCCAATGTATTGTTTAACAGCTTTTCCATTTTCATCAAATTGCATAGGATAACGTTCATTATATGCTTTACGTTTAGGATAATCCGTCATTGTTAATTTATACCCATTTATGACTTTAATATTTCCTTGACCATCAGTAACAAAGACTTCATTTATACCATCAGGCTTTCCATTTGGACCTGTAATGTCTGCTTCGTGTGCTTCCCAATTTGGTCCATGACGTTTGGCATATGCTTGAGCTTCTGGTAATGTTAAAACGTTTCTCATTTGTTTAACATCTTTTTGAAGACCAGCAACAATATGGACTAATTCTTTCATTCCGTCTGGAACTTTCATAGTTCTATTATATGCACCCTTTTTGTTTGTTCCTTGTTTTAATGGAACCTGTAGAAGATTTGCAATTTCTGTCATGTTTAATTATAAATAAAAAATAAAAATTAATTATAAAAAAGTTATTCGAATTTAATGGAACCTTTATTTAAATCAACTATTATTTTCCCATGTTCTCCTAATTGTTGATATTGTGTGTAAAGTTCATTAATGCTCATTGGTAAATTCACTTGATAAAGCATAACGTTCAACTGTTGACGACTAAACCCACTGAAAATGAAAAGGGTGGACAGGTTTGATTTAATGTTTGTGCTTAATGCTTTAAAGTATTGAACAGCCATAAAGAATGAACACTGAATATGTCGACATTGAGTTAATAATTGATTAAAATATGATTTCTCATTAGTTATTAGTTTTGATTTCACGGCATCATCTAGAAAAATTAGTGAATGCAAAAATTCTTTATCAAAATTTGAAATAGAAAGTGTTTCAAATAATTCATCCCTTTGTTTATCAATAATTTTATCATCTAATCCTTGCTTCTTGATTGTATTATATAATTCTTTATACATTAAAAAGTTTTTCAAATAATCTTCCGCTTCTTCTTGTGATAAATAAATAATTGGAATTTTGATTAAATGCTTTAAAGATTCAAATGTATCATCTGAAGGTGAACCTGAACGGTTGATATAAATTAACACATGTGAATAGGGTGAAGTGTTAGCAATAATGATAATTTGTTTTAATATCGTTAATGTTTTACCTTTATTTTGTTTACCAATTGCTGCAGTGATTGAATTTAAATAACATTCAGAATATGGAATTTTCATTAATTTTTCCTTAGATAGAGCATTTCTATTATCACTCAATGCTTCATTAATCATATCATCTATGTATGTATTATATACTCCTGTTAATTCTTCAGAATTGAAATCCATTTAATCAAAAATAAATTTATAATTTTAAACATTTCTATTCATCAATATTTCATCATATGAACTTCTATACTGTGGTGGTGTACCTGTTGGATGATATTTCAAACCTTCATCCGGTGTCCATGTCCAATATGTAGTCCTAGTAAACCAAACCTGAGGAGGATTTGTCACCTTTGAACAGTAAGTGTCATTTTCACCCTGAATGATTGGATAAGCTTTCACTTGTACTGTAACTTGTGAGTTGAAAGTTTCTAATCCATCAAAGAATATACCCGCTCCATCACGTTGAACTGGAATAGTACATAAGAATGAAGTTTGGTCTTTCCATGTTCTAGCTAATGGCGTGCCATTATCATCATTCAGTGGTCTAGTTAATGAGTCCTCGTATTCTTCCGTGCATTCATTCACTCCATCTAAATCAGAAGCTTGAAGCATACGTGTAAAGAATATGTCGCCCACTGTGGTCATCGCTTGATCGGGGAAGTTTCTGGAATCTATAGTGACCTGAAGACCTCGAAGCATTGGATTTTCTAAAACTGTTCTTTGCATTGCATTCTTCGGAAATGCTAACACAATATCTGTAACATTATGAAGAGCATATGAGAAATCAGAGCTGATACCTTCAGGAGTGATGCAACCTCCATTTAGTGAGCGAACGTCAATATGTTGAGCTGGAATCATGAATGGATCTTCCTTACTGAATAAACGTGGTATTGCTTTAACTGATTCTTCAATTAAACCATATCCTGGTGTAATACATTTATCCTCTAAAACTTCCATCTTTGTGCATGAAATAATAACGTCATCAACTGTTGCGTCAGCAGATGTAGCGGCTAAGCTTGTAATTAATTTGGCAGGAAGTCCGATTTGTTGGAATTTGCGATCGTATTTATAAACATGATTCATAATCTTTTCATAATTTTCATCAGTTATCTTTTCATAAACGTAATTTTGTAAATCAGCAACTCTTAACGGGTCAACCTGGCAAAATACCAAAGTATCCCTGAAAACATAATATTTAAGAATGATATCACCAAATGATTTAGGATAATCATCGAACGCCTGAAATGCTAACAAATCGTTTACTGGAATAATCATATCAAAAGTGATATCAACTTCTTCATTTGCTCTCTTGAAAACTTCTGAAGGGTCAATATATTTACCACATACTGAGTTATCATATTTTTGGACATTGTTATATAATGAATGAACAAACTTTTTAACTTTCCTTTCCGATTTTGGTTTA